TATGATTCATTGAACAATATAAGATCTCCCATTTTCAGTTACTTGATTTCTTGTGTAACTGAAAATCAAATGTCACCCCAATTAATGTAATCACCTTCACACTCTATTTTGTTTTACAACAGGTGTGATATCCTATGGGATAAAATTTGGAGGTAAATCTTGGTAGCTTACAACACATAAAATTGGTCTCCTTGTACATGGTTAATACACTTTAATTATTTTAGCTTCCTTAAGCTCCATTCTGGGCTTTTGTAGGAAATTTAGGTTCTTGCAATTTAAAATCAAAAATGTTAGAGCATGATGAGGTATATATAAAATCTATCATACAATTTAGAAACATAGAAACATAGCATGTAACGGCAGATAAGAACCATTCGGCCCATCTAGTCTGCCCAATTTTCTAAATACTTTCTTTAGTCCCTAGCCTTATCTTATAGTTAGGATAGCCTTATGCCTATCCCACACATGCTTAAACTCCTTTACTGTGTTAACCTCTACCACTTCAGCTTGAAGGCTATTCCATGCATCCACTACCCTCTCAGTAAAGTAATACTTCCTGATATTATTTTTAAACCTTTGCCCCTCTAATTTAAGACTATGTCCTCTTGTTGTGGCAGTTTTTCTTCTTTTAAATATAGCCTCCTCCTTTACTGTGTTGATTCCCTTTATGTATTTAAATGTTTCTATCATATCCCCCCTGTCTCGTCTTTCCTCCAAGCTATACATGTTAAGATCCTTTAACCTTTCCTGGTAAGTTTTATCCCGCAATCCATGAACCAGTTTAGTAGCCCTTCTCTGAACCCTCTCTAAATTATCAATATCCTTCTGAAGATACAGTCTCCAGTACTGTGTGCAATACTCCACATGAGGTCTCACCAGTGTTCTGTACAATGGCATGAGCACTTCCCTCTTTCTACTGCTAATACCTCTCCCTATACAACCAAGCATTCTGCTAGCATTTCCTGCTGCTCTATTAAATTGTCTGCCTACCTTTAAGTCATCAGAAATAATCACCCCTAAATCCTTTTCCTCAGATGTTGAGGTTAGGACTCTATCAAATATTCTGTACTCTGCCCTTGGGTTTTTACGCCCAAGATGCATTATCTTGCACTTATCCACATTAAATGTCAGTTGCCACAATTCTGACCATTTTTCTAGTTTACCTAAATCATTTGTCATTTGGCTTATCCCTCCTGAACATCAACCCTGTTACATATCTTAGTATCATCAGCAAAAAGACATACCTTACCATCAAGACCTTCTGCAATATCACTAATAAAAATATTAAAGAGAATGGGTCCAAGTACAGATCCCTGAGGTACCTCACTGGTGACAAGTCCAAGCTTCGAATATATTCCATTAACTACAACCCTCTGTTGCCTGTCACTCAGCCTCTGCCTTACCCATTCAACAATATTGGAATCCAAACTTAAAGATTTCAGTTTATTGATAAGCCTTCTATGTGCAACAGTGTCAAAAGCCTTACTGAAATCTAGGTAAGCAATGTCTACTGCACCACCCTGATCTATAAATTTTAGTTACCCAATCAAAAAAATCAATAAGATTAGTTTGGCATGATCTCCCTGAAGTAAACCCATGTTGTCTCTGATCTTGAAATCCATGTGTTTTTAGATGTTCAGCAATCCTATCCTTTAACATTGTAGCGGATGGCACTGGGCTGTCCTGCAAATGTCTTGTGAATAGTTGCATTCGTGTAAACTGCTGGTTTTATATGTGTTTAAAAGAATTGTATTCCTCTGATTGTTCGGTAGAATCATTCGAATAAACTAAGGGAATGAAACTACTGAACAATCAGACCTCCCCTGTGTGAAGTGTGTCCTCAATTACCCGTTGCAACATTGTTGCGAACGGGTAATTGACAAGTTAAGTAGCCGTCCTTTGTTCTCGGGGGTGGCCGCCATTCGAAAAACGAACACGTGGCGGCGGCCATTTTAAAACTCCCGAACAGCAGTGTTTTGCCGTTGAGTGTCTGGAACTCAAATCGGACACTCGACTAGGCAAACACCGCTGAAACCTCCACAAGCCCGGTCCGTTCGGTTCCTAACTACCGAACGGCCCCTCGTTCGGTAGATAGAAAGAACCAAACGAGGGGATTCAGGCGAACCCTCCCTAGCCTCTATAGCTAGAGGTTTTCGTGCCATTCATTCCCTGACTCCAGGACCGACCACAGGGCCCATTCACATGGAACCGCATTCGGCTGTTTCACTCAGTGCGGTCGGTCATTTTATTCCCTCCATAAATTTCCCGAACCCCTGGTCTGATCTGGGTGATTTTTGGATATGTTGTTCACCCAGATCAGGGCTACCAGGGGAAGTATGATTTAAAGGGGTACCCCTATGTTTAGGGGAACAATCAGAAACGGGGGAAATTGCTGTACTGGATAAGGGGATTATGATGCTGGCTGAGGGGAGGAGATGTGTGGGAGGTTACCAGGACAG